TTTTTATTACAACCAGCTAATACAAATGCTCTTCAGAAACTAGATAAAATTCAATTTAAGGCTCTTCGAATAATAACTGGTGCCATGAGGTCCAGTCCTACCAATGCACTTCAAGTCGAATGCTGTGATCCTCCACTACATCTAAGACGTCAATATCTTAGTGATAGATTTTTTTTCCGTACCGTAAAATTTTGTTCCCATCCTCTTCTATTACAACTACAAGTTCTGTCTGAGAATGTAACAACATGCAGTTACTGGACCCATAAATCACTTCCTTGCCTAGTAGTCAGCTACAGGAAATATTTATCTCTTACATCTCCCACACACATGTCTAACTATTTACCATTATTTCATGTCCATTATGAATGTCTTAATTTTATTCCCATCATACATTTTAATTTGGTAAATAAAGAATACAATGCTCCTCTAAATTTAAAATGCGCCTTGGATTCGCAATTTAATGAATATCATTATGTCTTTTGTGATGCGTCTAAAGGTAAATTAACAGAATGTGCTGGTATTGGTATCTTTCATGCACAATTCAAAATCGTACAAAAAATTAAACTTCCTCCAGAATCGTCAGTATATACAGGAGAATGTTTTGGCCTTCTAAAATCTGTAGAGTATGTTCGAATTATGAAACTTAAAAACACTTTAATATTGTCTGATTCTAAAAGTGCCCTTCAGGCGTTAGAGAAATTTCCCTTCAAGATAAAACTACATTCACCAGTACTTTTTGCTACTCGAGAATTAATTTACGAATGTAAAACGAAAGGTTTTAATATAGAATTTGCATGGATTCCCAGCCATTCTGGGATCGATGGCAATACTAAGGCTGACCTTTTAGCTAAAGAAGCTGTAACATGTGGAGATACAGTACCATATGAGAATTACAGTCAAGATTTATTGACACTTCCTAAATTACATCTTAATAACGAATGGCAATCGCTTTGGGACATCAGTCAACAGAATAGAGGTAGATTGTATGCACAAACCCAGAAATGTATACCGATAAAACCATGGTTTTGGAAAATCAATCTGAGCAAAATGGAAACATCGATAATAATTCGAATGAGACTAGGTCATACCTGTGCGCCTACCCATCTTGCCAAGCTTGGTATTCTGACTAGCCCTCTTTGTGAGTGCGGTGAGGATGAGGGGAATTTAAACCACATTTTCCTTTCCTGTCCACGTTTCCAAAGAACCAACTTCATCAATAACTTGATTTTTCTTCAAATTCCATTTCCAACAAACATATCATTACTACTTCTAACAAATGAAGCAACTGTATATAAATGTATTGTATCATTCTTAATACTAAATAATATTAAATTATAAATATTTAGATATATTAATATATTATATGAAATATATATAAATAAAAATTTATGTAAAATATTCCTATACTTTCCTGATCCTTTTCCTTTTCACATCGTATCCTTACCTTTATTAACCTTTTGTTTCCCAAATTTTTGTTGGTGGCTAAATGCACTTGTCGTGCGAAGCCAATTAAAAAAAAAAAAAAAAATAAATAACCGATTTGCGACTAAATTATGAACATCTAATATTTTTATACAACAATTATGGCATGGTAAACAAACATTACTTAACAAGTGCAAAAAACTATAACTCCAAGAACAAATCAAACATTTAAACTGACATAGTAATATTTAAAATTTCCTAGCAAGTATAGAGATATAGGATTAATTTTTAATGAAGGCAATTCTTATTTAATAATAACATTAAAAGTTTAAAACTTGGACTATCAGTATCTAGTATAAATTATGTATATTTTATTTTTCAAAATGTCCAGTTTAGATTCTTAAACTAAAAAGGTTTTACACGGTTAATTAATATTGTATGAAACCAACAAATAATTGAAAAGATATGAAGATAATGTATTTCATATATTTTAGGCATTGTGTTTCAAAGTATTAACTGCTTACTACTTACATACAATATCTTATAGTTTCAGACTTTTCTATACTTACCATTCTTATTGTTACATTGTGTATATCCCTTTGAGGAAGGTATTATAAAAAGTGGACTTGTTAAGTAATAAATACCTTACTTGTATAATAAGTATTTAACTATTATATCTATTTAATAAAAACCTTATTATGTACTCAGTGTTGTTTGTCTTCTTACATTTAGAAATAAATGTTTTTCAAAATGCATTGAACACACCCTGGCATGCCTTGAAGGCTTACAATTTGGTGTTCCGCAAGCTTCAATCCAATTTTGAAGTTCAGTTTCATTTATCAATCAATTTTGAAGTTCATGTTCATGTGATGAAAATCATATTTTAGATTTTACAATTACTAAAACACTTTTTTTTAAATTTCATATTTTAATTTGGAAAATTGATGTCATCATTATGATAATAATATGATTGTCATATGGAATAACAATATTTTATGAAGAAAAAACACATTTGACCGAAATTTATTGATAAAATTAGTAATATTATCTACTATAAACTCAAACATTTCTAACCAAATACATAGCACAATTTTTAGTGATTCTAAATACAGAAATGATATTCAATTAAGTCTAGAAGATGTAATTTAACATTACATTACAGTAAATTAAGCGGTATTCTACTTAATTTACTGTAATGTAATCTCAGGCTTTAAAGGCTAATATTTTAGGTTACAAACTTGGATTTATTTTAATCAAAAGTTTAAAAACTGCCCAATTGTTTTTTTAAATCGCATTTTGTAGTTCTATGTACTTAGAAAATAGTTGAGTTTCAAACATTTTGATATTTATTTAACAGAATATTGATAATTTAATTTTAAAGCACTTTGAGGGGAGTTTTTAAGCACTTAGATGTCAGCCTTAATGATTTGAGGTTATATTCTTATGCAGCTTATTTAATAATATTTTTAGCTTGTTTTGTGTCGTATTTAATAAAATTCACATTGGTTATGGCAATGAGAAATTTTACCTTGACGAAGAAATAAACAAAATGCTTCTAACTTACCTGAAATATGATACACCTACAATATTTCTTTCGGATCTATTTTTGCAAGATATAACACTGCATTTAACCATTATTTTAATTTGCAAATAACGTTTCTTAATTATAAACTCTATACATCATATAAAATATTGTTAAAATACACTTCTTTCCAACTTTTTTCTATATTATTTGATTCCATCAATTTCTATGAATAAAATTTTGACGTTTTGGTGCCAAACAAGCCTGGTGCCAAACAAAAAAACCGGCCACATCGATAAGGACAACAAATAATGTTTTTATCTCACTTTAACTAATGAAAATTGTAATAAGTCATTTAATTTCCCGATGAATGAGATAGAACATACCATTAGTCTATTGCTTTCTCTGTCTACGGACGACAAATATTTGTACTTATTATCAGTGTTACTAGGTAGTTAAATGTTCCTCCATTATGGGGAGATATTTTGTTATGATATATAATGAGATAGAACATGCCAGTAGTCTATTGCTTTCTCTGTCTACGTCATTATCAATTTGTCAGAGTATTTATTCAGATTTTATTAAAGATAAAGGGATCCAGACAAAAACAGTCTAGACAGAGTTGTAGGTAATTTATACCTAAAATCAGATTTCTTTCAAACACCACGTATAGATTTATTGTTTGTTACGATCACATTATTGGTTATGGTGAGTCTTGTATTATTACCGTTATATACCAACTATAGATATATGACAAAAGATGTAATTTATATTTGATGCAAATTTTTGCATCCAGGTTACCCTGATTGCAAAAGGTCGTCTCATCTCAGAATGATAGGGACAAAGTGGATTTTTTAAGCATTTTTCATTAAGCAGAAGTAATATAAAAAATACACAAAACACATACTTTAATAAGTTTATATACCAAAGACTTGGCTGTATGGTGCATGGATTTATTATTTTTGTAGATGGATTACATTTTAGTTGAATAATTCTCCTGTATTTTATTCTACAATTCCAATGACAAAATTATATGTGACTAAGAGAGATAATAATAGTACTTCCGAAGTACTTAAAACACTCGGCATCACAAGTCGCGAAACGCCATTTTGGTTGTTAACCAGTTGGTTTGTTCTACAGTTTTCAATGAGGAAGTATTTAAAAAAAATTAGTTCCCGAAATCAAACTAGATGTCGCTACGGTACGTTCTTGATTTCTCCATGACAACCCTTCCGGTTTTCTTTCATGTTTAAGAGTAAATTAGTTTTCAAAAAACAATAAACAACTCATATTCTATTTTTCTTTTTCGTATTTGTATTAATATCTATTTTTCGAACTTTTCAAATTTCATTTTTTTAATATGTTAATTTAATGGAACGGAAATTACTGTCTTTGGTCCATTCGTTTCCTGCAAAAATCAACTTTTACATGAGTTGCCATCTAGTGGAGGTGCTTTTTAGTGCTTTCGTTTTTTTAATACTTTTAATTTTTAATATTAAGAAGATTAAAAAAATCGTCACTTAAATGATTTATGTAACAGTTCTAAATCATAACTGAAGTCGGTTTTTACTATTCATTTCATCAACTCGTAAGAGGTCATTGAACTCCAACCGTACAGCTGAACCGCGTTCTTCGTAAGTAAGTAACAATAAGGGAGCCGGGCACGACGAATATAGATTTGTACTGTCCATAGTTCACACACCCAGTTGCACAAACGTCAATTACATTTGTCATTTATTTAAAGAGACATTACCGACATACATTTTGAACAATTTTTTAGAAACGATACTGCTCACAAAGGCTTCTCAATTACTAATTACTTACTATTTAAAATTATTCAAACGCAATAAAATTTATGTAATAGTTGTAAACATAACACTTAAACTGATCTGTTTTTACTATTAATTTTACCAATTCGATTGGACTCCAGCTGTACAGTCGATACGGTCACGTAATGTATAGCAAACCATGCCACAACTGTATGCCTAGTTGCACAAACGTAAATAAATGCTCTAAAGTCGCAATAATATGATGGCATATTTTGACAGTTTCTGGAGACGGGTTAGACAGATTTTTAGGGAGTGTCGGACATATTTACCTTTTTTTGAAACGGTCACCCTGACTACCTTAACTTTTTTACTCTTTGAGTTGTTCATAAAATGTCAAAACAATAATGAATTTTAAATAAAGAGAGATGAGTGAGAGAAGTCACAGTTTACTTAGAATTAATTAAAAGGAACTTTGTATATGAGGAAGTAATAGATATGTTTCTAGTGTAATGTCTAGAAGTTACCGTTTCTGAAATATTTGAATCGGACTGTGATTACTGTCACCTCTGTTATGTTTTATCTTCAGAACTGATATTTTTACTATACATAATTTGAAATGGAAACTTCGAAAAGACATGCGTCGCAAGCACAAGTAGCTGCTCTTATGGATTTTATGCAGGATCATTCGGAATTAGCAAAAGGTCATGCTAGCTCTGGTCTCGAAAAAGAAGATCTTGAAACACAATGGGAAGACCTTACTAACACACTTAATACAATGGGCGGTGCGATAAAATCTGTTGAAAAGTGGAAACAGGTATTATGGCCTTTGTAGTAGTATGTAAGGTTAAATGTGTAATTTCTTTCATGATTACACTAACAATTTCTGTGCTTGTAATAAAAGTCTATCTTTAACAAATACTTTGATATCTTGCTGTCTAAATGTACACACTGTGCTATCAACCTTCACAATCCTTCAACGCAGCACATGGTGAAAGATTTTAAAGCTTGTGATGGTTGATTGAATGATTACCAATGTTTTATTTTCAGACATGGCGTGACTTAAAATCTAATAACAAAAAGAGAGCACTATTAAAACAACAACAGTCTATGTGTGATACTAGTATGGGCCCGAGCTCAGAGACCCAAGAAAATGTACAAAATTATAATGAAACTTATGTTCCACCAGCAAAGAAAAGATTTGGTAATGATCTCATAGCTATTACAATAAATCTAATCTCAAAAAACACTAATGCTGAAATCTTTTACAGCTTCTTTCGATGAAGAAATAATAAGAATAGAAAGAGATAAATTACAACTTGACAGAGAATATAAAGTACAGAAGATAGAAGTACTTTCCAGGTATGCTTTTATATATTTTTATGAAACTAAAGTTTAAGAACAGGTTTAGTCATGTTAATAGATTTTAGAGACATTTCAAATCCATTGCAAGCCCACTTATCCAAGATGTCATCAAATCAATGCAATTTTTTTATTAAATTCAAAGTGTGCATGTAAATACAAAATACAGTTTTTAATTAATGTCTTGCTGTGTTTATTGGACTGTTTCAGGATTGCATCTGCATTAGAAGATTTGGCAAGAAAAAAGTCCTAGTCAAGTAGTATTTTTTGAAACTTTTAAAAATCTCCTTTTTTATGACATTATTCTTTTTACTTTTTTTACTCAGATTTTAATGAAAGTTTGACATGAAAGTTTTGGATGTAAGCTGGTATTATAATCATATTGAGTTAGACTTTTTGTGCATACATTTTTTTTGGCTGTGAAATCTTTGTGTTGTATGGATCACCATGGAAGATTTAAGGCAGTTGCAGACAAATTCAATATTATATAGGTTTTCATGGTGAAAAAAAAAACATGTGGAAGCAGCCTAAGTCATAATCTGTTGCAAATATAAGCCAGTTGAACATGAATTTTAATGTTAAGACTTGAACATAAACATTCGAATTTTAATTTACTGTTTTGATTACATAAAAATAAGTTGTATGTTAAAACTATTTATAAATAATGTTTTATTCAGAATGGTGGTATTTTGTTTTATTGTTACCATTATCTTAGGAATTTCAATATTTTGTAAGTTATAAAAAGTAGGTTAAGAGTTTTTCTCTATAATGTTGATGGTTTAGATTTGAGTAATGTAAGCCATATCTTTTCTATCTACATATTATATGGAAGAATTTATTTTTTGTAGCTATTAAACCTATTTTAATTTTTTGTTAAATATTTATAAAGCAAAATAAAAATAAGCTTTATTCTCTAACTTGTTTCTAACTTATACAATGAAACACACTGTCAATATATTTCATGAGAATCTGTTCTATTTTCGATGAAAATAATTGTTAAAAAAAGTTGCTCCATTTAATGACGCCGATTACGTGGTATTTGTGACATCACATGCCGGTAAATATGTCAAGACGACATAATCCATTCATCATCTATTTATTTTCGAAGTATTGAAATAGTATTACAGAAGACAAATTGAAGTTAAATTTTTGTTTGGTATTATTTGTTATTTATTTGTATCTACTCTGGCTTTGTTTATAAATTGTATGTAAAAATACAAATTTTGCTTATGTTTATTAACACTGTTTTGACATGACAGCTTCCTGTTTACGTGTGACGTCACATGTCGGTAAACAGAACCTTGATTGGTTGCGAGGACATCAGGACAACCAATGACAGTGTGTTTTCGTCGTTCATTAAGATTAAAATGCTGCATTTGATTACGTTATTTTACTAAAGCTAAACATATTTTGTCAGCAGATTCTAAGAAATAAATTTTATTAGATTATTATTTAACAGGATGACCATAATACGCAAATTAATTTAATAGTGTCAAACACGCTATTGTGAACACGCCAATTTGATATTTCATCTTAGCACCCCAGACTTTTGGCAGATAGTCATCTCTTTGTTGATGGTGAATATCTTATTCTGTGGTGAGATAGATGTCGCTAGGTGAAAGCAAACTAGATGTCGCTACGGTACGTTCTTGATATCTTCATGACAATCTCTCCAGTTTTCTTTCGTGTTTAAAAGTAAATTAGTTTCCAAAACTCAATAAGCAACTCATATTCTATTTGTACTTTTTCGCATTTGTATTGATATCTAAGTTTCGAACTTTTCAAATTTTAGTTTTTTAATATGTTAGTTAAATGGAACGCAAATTACTGTCTTTGGTCCATTCGTTGCCTGCAAAAATCAACTTTTGCTAGAGTCGCCATCTAGTGGAGGTGTTTTTTTAGTGCTTTCGTTTTTTTTTAAATACTTCCTCATTACCATTTTTTTATCTATACCTATTAATATTTAAGAGACAAAGTTTTTAATTTTGTTTGTTTGTAGGGGGTTATCTTTCATCCGATCCGATCATGAAAATTCTTTCACTTACGGGAAACTACATCATACTAGTTGCTATAGTAGGTTGTTGTTTTAGTACTGTACTCTGGTTTGTACGCCGAGATCTTATAAACTACACAGCATATTTAAGCAGCTTGTCATCAATAAATAGAGTGATTTAAGATAAAGATTTAAATAAATAGTACATTCATAAAATAAAAAATAATACTTGTCTAATTTTAGTCTTAAAATAGTGCCCGAGCAAAGCGGGTCGCGGTTTGCTAGTCCTAAATAAAATATGTAGATAGGTACAATATTTGTTTTGTTTGTGGTTTCCTTTAAAAGAACATCCCTCGGGTGGTATAAGGGAATTCCACAGACAGCCTCAAAGTTCGAAACTCGGCAGATGCGGTCGAGACGTGATTGCATGATTTATCTCTTTGGTAATACATATTTAGGTACTTACATATGAAATTGGCGTTTTGTCGTACTGGCCACTTTAATCATTCTCCTCCTTGGTTGGGAATTCCAAATTCAAATTTATACAGCCATCGTGTATTTGTGTTTCGTTAGGCGGCATTCATTTGTTTTTTATCCAACAGATTACTATTTTTTTTGAAATTTGGATAACTTCTTGCTTGGGAAAAAATTTAACTACGATGGGGCAGTGTAATATTGTCTATACTTAGTAAGAAAAATAAGTAATATGTTGTTGACATTTGACATGTATAAAAATAAGTTGTTGCAAATTGTTGAGAACCAAAATTCTATGGATAAAATACAGTCATAAAAAGTATATCTATTGGAGTATTATTCATTGGTCCTGTATGGATCCGGATCGCGCAACATCGTAGATACGATTGTGGATGGTAAATATCCATCACCCGGCGTCAAGAAATTCTCCCCAGCGAGACAGCATTGTGTTGTTGCGGACCTGAGCGGAGCCGGCTAATACCGGAGGGACGTTGGGAGGAGTTGTGCATAAGGTGGACTGATTGAGTCTTCACCTATTGGAGTATTAGAAAAGTGTTGTGTTATACATATATAGAAGTGTACATATGGAAGTGTGCATATAGAAGTGAGGTGCATTTTAAAATTATTTTGCGAAGATACGAAACATTCAATTTGGACATTTCATCATCTTCTTAGTAGTATAGTATAATTCATAATTTTGTTTTCAGGTGACAGTTAATTTTGTTTGGTATTTACAGTTTCTTTTTTAAAAGAGTAAATATGGGTTCTTTGTTTGACATTCAAGATGACATAAAGATGAAAATGATTAGAGCTCTTGCTAATTTTAAAAAGTCACCTAAAGACCGGTTGACAGTTTCATATATAGAAACTCGTTTGGGAAACTTAGAGCAACAATGGGAACTTTTTCATAATACTCATGTAAAAATAATTACGGATACTAAGAAAGCTGAATTGCACGAGTCTAGTTATTTTAAGCAATGTGTTTTCGATGAAGTAGAGGAGATTTATATTCAGTTAAAAACAGATATGAAAGAAATTTTGTTTAAAATAAACTTGAAAGATAATAATCGTGTTGTACAAGCAGGGTCATCTAGTAGTCGTGTAGAGGTAAACAATATAAAATTACCTGAAATTAAAATACCCTTATTCTCTGGTAAGTATATTGAATGGCAAACTTTTAGGGATTTGTTCTTAGGGCTTGTACATAAGAACAAGTCTCTAGACGATGCGCAACGATTTTATTACCTAAAGAGTCATTTGACTGGTGAAGCAGCACAACTATTGAGAAATATAAGTGTTACGGCAGAAAACTATGAAAGTAGTTGGAAAAAATTAGAGTCTTTATATAATAATAAAAAGTTTTTAGCTAACGGGATTTTGAAACGTTTATTGAATCAGAGAAGCTTAATATCGGAATCTGCAAATGAAATTAAAAAGTTAGTGAACACAACTACTGATTGTTTAGAATCTATAAAGAATTTGGGGGTTGATGTGTCATCTTGGGACATTCTTATTATACACATTATTAGTGCCAAATTAGATAAGGACACGCGTAAAGCATGGGAACTCAAGGTGTCATCTGAAGTTAGTGATGAGTTGCCAAACTTTACTCATTTTACTGAATTCTTAGTAGGTCGTTTCCGAGGATTAGAGAATTTAGATAATAGGTTAAATATAGAAAGAAATACTGTAAAGAATGCTCAATCATTTCATATTATGAAAGATAAGAAAGAAGGGTTATGTGTTTTTTGTTCTGATACACATAAAATCACTTTTTGTAAGAAATTTATAAAAGAAGGTAACGACACTCGTCGTAATTTCGCTCTGGAACACGGGTTGTGTTTTGTATGTTTAAATGAAAACCACTCTGCTAAATATTGTAGAAATACTATGAGATGCCGTATTTGTAAAAAACGTCATCATACTTTACTTCACCCTAACGTAGGTTCCGAATTATCTGAGGAGACTATTACTGCTGGTCATGTGGAGACATCTGAATCTAATTCTAGTACGGAAGATTCTACTAAAGGGTTGGTTGCCGAGACATCTGATAGTGCGAATACATCTGTCAAGCAAGTAATATCGTGTGTTTCGAGAGCGGATTGTAAAAAAACGGTATTGTTGACTACGGCTCTAGTTCAAGCTAAGTCAAGGGATGGCACTTATAAGGTACTTCGGGCCCTGTTGGATCAGGGATCTCAGGGGTCATTTGTAACTGAAGATATGGTACAGTTTCTTGGTTTACCGAAATCGTCTTCTAGACACACCGTGATAGGTGTAGGCGGTAATAAAAATGTCATGTCTAGTGCTAAGGTTACGTTAAAGATTCAATCGAGATTTGAATCTAATTTTTGTATTCAAGTTCAAGCACATGTTTTAAATTCAATAACGTCAATTCTTCCTAGCGTTAAAACGAATAAGGTTGAATGGGTTAATTTGAGTGATAATGTCTTGGCTGATCCTGAATATTATAAACCAAATAAAATCGATGTTTTATTAGGTGCTGAGATTTACAGCCAAGTAATTAAAATTGGGATTAAAAGATATGGCTCACTCATAGCGCAAGATACTTATTTTGGCTGGATCCTTTCTGGTGTGATTGAAGCTGATAATGCATCAACAAATGGGATCTGTTCAAGCATTAGGGTTATGCATTGTAATATACAATCAGATGAACTTCTACGTAAATTTTGGGAGTTGGAAATGGAACCCAAAACAGTAGGTAAGATGCTTACTGAAGAAGAAATTGCATGTGAGAAGTTGTTTGTGAAAACAAATCAACGAGATAGCACGGGTAGATACATAGTGAAATTACCTTTTCGTTCCGGTGATCAAAGTTGCTTAGAAGGGCATTCCAGAGCAATAGCTGAGAAAAGATTGAGAAGTTTGGAATCGAGACTAAAAAGACATGGTCAACTAAAGGAAGATTATGGTAAA